TGTGAAAAACTCGGAGACTCGGTAGGATTCGAACCCACGACAGCAAGGGGAAGGCTTTAGTATAGCCGACACTCTAGCCAACTGAGCTACGAGGCCCCACCGGGAGACGTGATTTTAATAACATTTGAGTCAAGTAACCCACCCAACCTACTGCAACGTCTGGAATTCACCAAATCTGATGCAGTAAGCTGACTGCCCAAGCAGTATTTCTTGAGTAATGCATCTCGAATCCACCAGATGACTGCCAGATTCCCGCAATTAATAGGTTTTTATAGCAGATTTTGAATAATGTTCACTGATACAAGGGACGGAAGAGGAATACAACAGAAGTGATGATCCGTCTGTATAAAGAGGTGATACCAACATACCAGCTAGACAACCGTTGGGGATTGCAGCGCCAAAAGTGTCACGTCATTCGAACAAGTCTGTTCAGTTCAAAGGATATTATACCACCAGCGGCAAATCTAACCTCAAGTGCCTGAATTGCAGCTCTATGCATGCTGTGTGAAACGGCGGCAAAGAATTATGAATTTAAACTAACCCAGTCCTCAAATACGCCGATGAATTCGAAAAGGCGAACTCTATAGATGTACGCCGAATCGTTAGAACTTACGTTAGTGTGCGAGCCTAATAATCGATAGAATAAGGCATGGAGACGCTGTCAAGGTTCGGTTTGATCATATAAGAGAGAGGGCAGGGCATTACCATGGCGAAATAAAATCTCTTTCGTTGGTGATAGCGGTCGTTGCAACCGCATAGTCCGAACACGCATAAAGATCGTGCTGATTGGTGGAAGATGGGGGAGAGTAGTCATCAATGAGATGTCATGGTGCCCTAAGATGGACATACTCGACTTACTTTTATGAGTCGGCCTATTGCCTTCCTTCGGTGTGGACAGTTCGGTGAGCAGTAATTATCTAGCCTTCTTTTACTAAGCAGCATGACCAGCCGCCACTAAAGTGCCTTTCAGAGTCCAAACAACTGCATTACCACGTCCACCGAGTTACCAATTATGCCTATGGCGCTGCCCTCCACAATGATGGGTTCGAGAATGGATCCGTAACATCAGGCGAATGAGGTACTTGTGCAGACACTCAGGTCTCCTACTTCTCATTCACCTCCTGGAACTCACCTTCTTGCGTGTATCGGAAATTAGTAGTCCTGTTAATGATTATGGTTAGGCCTTCCACAGTCCAGCTACTTGTACGCATATGTTACCATAGCACGTGCGCGGTTGCCCGATAAATCTTCCGAGTCAACTGTGATCCATCTCTGTTCCTGATGCCCTTGTGTCTTGGCCATCAGATGGCATTTATGGGCTGAGTATGCTTTTGGAGGCTAGGTACCGAAGCCTGCTCTGATAAGCATCATCTCAGCCCTCATGGTAAGATCTCTCTCCTCTCCCCTACTTGGTTGGCTGTTTGCAGCTTCTAAAGCCAGATCTACCTTGCCGTCGACTGACTAGCGTCAAGAGATGTTTGGTAAACTGGGTTGCGTGCTAACTTATTTTGTTATTGCCTTCAGGTTTTGATCAAGGCACGGGTAGTTGCTTAGCTGTACTCTCCCCCCCTCCCGGGTTCTCTTAAAACCCTTCGTGACTCGCCTTCCGTTATCTTCAGTCTACTATTTTTAGTGTCCAAAGCTGGCAGCTTTTATTTTGGATTGAAGTACTCACTTTGCAGCTGCTAGCGTAGCTCTCAAACTCACTCACTCCATGACCACGCAGTCGCTCACATGCTCCTAATGAGTAATCACTCGCGCGCAAAATTACAGCCTTTAACAGTGATGAACAATCCCCTCTCCACTGACTGACTCAGACAAATATTGTTCACATTGAAACCTAGGCGTCGGCTTCGCCGCCAGCGTCTCTTCTGCGCAAGGCCATGCACTTTGTCTGCTACCCCGACTCCTGACTCGGAATTAACAGTGCTTCGGTAATTTACCCACATAAATCCAGAACCAGGTCTGACAAGACTCGTTCTCAAGTAATAGATGTTGATGTTAGGCACTGTCATTTGACCGCTGAAGTCGTGTCAGAAACCACGCGGAGGACGTTAAGGGACGCAGCGATGAGCCAAGCAGGTGCAGAAAACTCGGAGATTTTAGCTGAAACCTACGCCAGATGTATTGTAGACCATTTATCGGTGTTCCTAAAGCTGATCTGCTTTTTAATCCTGATCAACTGGCAATCCCTATCTAGGATTTGAGGCATATATGCAGGATACGCCTTCGTATTTCCTGTTACATTACAGCCAGCTGAGTCAATGCTATTCCTAAGTCGACGGCATGTAACCTGTTTTTCAATCTGAATACAGATAGTCCGATGTTAACAGGAGTTTGTATACCATTTATCTGTTCGCCAAGAAATGCTAGCAGACTGCTTGGTTTATTGTCCCTGAAAATATTGAATAAACACTGTGGACGGTCGATTTCCATTTTACAATCAGGTTAGATTGCTGCACTCCTACAAACATTACAATAAAGGGTCTTTAATTAATTTGAACTTAGGTGCAAATTCAGAACCACAGATCACCTGTGAAAAGCGCAAAGCCTTTAAAGTGACAAAGAAGGTGTCGGAAGATGCCTGGTCTTCACCTTGACTCTGAGTCTATAGAATTTCTGGTAATTGTTAACAATCTAAACGGTGGTTGAAGTTGACACTTACTATTAGAAAGGAAAGAGAGACTTTCTTGCACTAGTCAAGGAAACACTGTTGACTTTCCACGGACCCTCAAAGATGGCCTTGAATCCATGCTACCTAGAAAGGATGATTGAAGGGGGTCGGATTCCGATTTTTCATAGAACAGCTAAACAGTACTGAACCATGTATAAGTTTGCTTTTTATAACAGATTCACGGCAGGGATCGGTTACGTTGTCCGGGTCCCAAACGTAAGTGCAATGTGGGCATTGAAAGTACAGTAAGTTGAAGGGGGATGCTGAGATCGTTAGCAGGGAAAGTAACCAATGGCTAAAACGGAGAAGGCAACCTGATGTATGACAAATCTGCCGCAAGATTGAAGAAAGGCCAGAATCCCCGCAAAAGACCCGGCTGACAGGACACGCATGCCAGCAATACCCAAAACCAAACGGTGACCTCAAAAGTAAACCTAAACTTTAACGTAATTATAAACACAACGCTAACCCTAGACTTAACACTAAAACTTACCCTAAACCAATCACAAACCCTAGTCCTAACCCTAGGCATAGCCTTAGCCCTGACCCAAATCCTAACCCTAACCTTATCTCAGTCTGACTCTAACCCAAACTCCAAAACCAACCTACCTCTAAACCGAAACGTCAGATTGCCCTTTTCCTTTCTACTGTTGGCTACTTTCCCACTAACGATTTCAGCATCCCCATTGGTTTATTTTACTTTGAATGCCCACATTGCTCTTACACTTGGGACCAGGACAGATCCGCCACCAAAATAAGTTTCGGTATTGGGGTTTTTCAAACCCGTTTGGGATTATGCGGACTTGGCTTTGTGGTGGTTTTTATAGAAACCTAGTATAGGAGACCTAGATGAGATGGAGCCGACAAAGACAAGGGAGACCGGAATGGCCATTTCTGGCTTAGTAGTCGTCATCAGCCAGTCATACCCAACCCCAAGTATGGATCACTTGAGATTCGAACCCGGGATCTTTAGTCATGGATTGTCTACCATTGAGCCACGGACCCGTTGTCCTGTCGGTTGTGATCGGGAATATCAATTATGACAGTGGGCGTTCGCCGAACAGGTTACGGAACATGCTCGTTCCGCTGTGCCGTAAAAATGCTTGGTGAACGTCCCTCTACCATTATATATTCACGGTCGCAACCGACAAGACAACGAGCCCGTGACTCAGTTGTTAGAGGCGTTGGACGTCTAACCAACAGGCAGCGGAATCGAGCCCCAGGTGTCTCACACTACAGGGTTGGGTATGATTGGCTGACGACGGCCAAAAAGCCAGAAATGGCCACTCCAGTTCCCCTTGTCTTTGTCAGCAGTAACATTCTGAGTAATCGATTATTTCGCAAAATCTGATGTAATTTCAACATAAGTATTCGGATCAAACCTGAGGTGTGCTAATTTCTGGGGTAATAAAAAAAGCTTAGTTCTAGCTCTCTTGTCAGCTGAACGCCTCTGTCGCGATGACAACTTGAACCGGACGAAAATCATGGCAGTAGAACCTGGACCAGGAGCACACACATGCCTGCAGCCGTACCTGACCACAACAACAGCGTCGTGGGGTGATTGTGCAGCCATTGCGTCTCAGTCTTATCGACTGTTTTCTACAAATCCTGTCTTAGGTTACATCAGTTGCATCTGACCTCAGCTGCTTGTACGCTCATCTTTAATTTTTTATTTTTGAAAACCCGTTATTGACCACCGCACTACCAAACAAGCACTCTCGGACCAGTTTGGCGAAATGATGCAACGGCAGAAGGAGGCATGAATTCGTGGCATATTCTCACCTTCAATGGTATTCTTCGCTGTTTCATAATAGAATATCAGAGCCGAAGGTATAGACATGCTGAGCGGCCCTACCACTAAGGAATTGTTGACACGCATGAACGAACATGAGCGCGCGGCGGGTCTCATGGACATCATTCACGATTTACGTCCGTCTGTTCACACTTAAATGGGCAAACCGAAAGCAGAAAAGTCCGATTAACGTCATTTCAATCTACCGTTAGTCTATGGCGTCACCCGAAATCACAACAGTAAACGACTACATAAAAGACACATTACACCCCTTCACTGATTTCATGCGGAAGACATAGGGGAAATTACCTTTATTTCCCTACATTTAGTTGCTTACCAACAACTTATATCAGAAAGCTGAGTCAGAGGAAAGATATTCGGAGTAATTTGAGGTTTTGGATCATTTAATATAAGATACAAAGTTAGCTTGCAGAAAAAGTAGTACAAGGTACGAGACAATGAAATCGCTTTTCCGCACGGCAAAGTTTTTCGAAGACGAAGTCAGTAAATGCTTCAATATAAAATGGACAGGAATTAGAAGCATTTGCGGTGAACGATTTGTGGGCCGGATTCGTCATACTCCTGCTTCGTGATCCACATCTGCTGGAAGGTGGACAGAGAGCCCAAAATCGAACCACCGATCCAAACTGAGTACTTGCGCTCCGGTGGAGCAATGATTTTGATCTTCATTGATGACGGGGCAAGCGAAGTGAGCTCCTTGTTCATCCTGTCAGCAATGCCCGGGTACATGGTTGAACCGCCCGACAGGACAATGTTGGAGTACAGGTCCTTCCTGATATCCAGATCACACTTCATGATGGAGTTGTAGGTGGTCTCATGAATTCCCACACTCTCCTGACCTAAGAAGCTAGGTTGGAAGAGGGCCTCGGGACAGCGGAATCGCTCGTTACCCACTGTGATCACCTGACCATCGGGAAGTTCGTAGGTCTTCTCGAGAGAAGAGCTCGAGGCCGCAGTTGCCATCTCGTTCTCAAAGTCAAGTGCCACGTAACAAAGCTTCTCCTTGACGTCACGTACGATTTCTCGTTCGGCGGTGGTGGTGAAACTGTAACCACGCTCTGTGAGGATCTTCATGAGGTAGTCAGTGAGATCACGACCAGCCAGATCAAGACGTAGGATGGCGTGGGGTAGGGCATAACCCTCGTAAATGGGGACAGTGTGGCTGACGCCATCGCCCGAGTCCAGGACAATGCCGGTGGTGCGACCAGAGGCATACAGTGACAGGACGGCCTGAATAGCGACGTACATGGCTGGGCAGTTGAAGGTCTCAAACATGATGGTGGTCATCTTCTCACGGTTTGCTTTGGGATTCAGTGGGGCCTCAGTCAGAAGGACTGGGTGTTCCTCTGGAGCAACGCGGAGTTCATTGTAGAAGGTGTGATGCCAGATCTTCTCCATGTCATCCCAGTTGGTGACGATGCCGTGCTCGATGGGGTATTTGAGGGAGAGGATGCCTCTCTTGGACTGGGCCTCATCGCCGACGTAGCTGT